CCTTGGAAGCAAGGAAGACACACAGCAAAGTCAGACATGGACTTTCCCCTGATGCAGAAGGGAGAACCACATAGAGTGCTGGCTGGCAAGGTCATTTAATGGACATTAATTTATCTAAGAGGAGATTCAGAAACAGATAAAGGTTCATCTAAACACACTCTTTCCCTCATTTTACAGATTTCTCCTGACTCTGTGGATTATTTGGGAGCTTCAGAACAGCAGATTGTATTTCTGGCATTGCTAATAGTAAGAAGACATTTCCATTTAAATGTTCTTGCATGAGGGGGCACATTTGTATGCTCTGCATTAAATTTAAATTTTTAATTAGGCGCTTAAAAATTCTTCACTTTAGGCTCCGGAAGCAACACTACACACACACACACACACACACACACACATACACACACACACACACACACACACACACATAAGCTTTAAAATCTGGACCACTGTCTTAATACTGATCAACTGATACTGAATAAACTGATACTGAAAAGCTCAAACTCTGCATGGTATCAACTTTTTACTACTGTTGCTGTCATGGTTTCTCTTAAGAGCAGTGATGCTACGAGGAGAGTTTCCTAGAATATTAAATACATTGTCTTTCAATCTTGTAAAAACATTATCAAATCCTTAAAAACTTCGTATATGATCAAACTCCTTAAATCACTTCCAATATGGAAATTGTTGTTTTTATGGTGATGCTAATTTTGACTGTCCTTTTTACCCCCTAGCCTTACCTTCACTTTTTCATTTTCCTCTTTGTTCTACGATGTCTGGAAATGAACTTTAGGAAGAAATTAATGAGAAAGGATCCTGTGTTCAGGTTAAGAAAATTCCAATAGAATTTCATGTTTTATTTGAGTAGTCATTGTTTAAAGACATTTTAATAGCCCTAATAAATTGAGTAAAAAGCACTGTGTAGGGTTGTTTTTAAGGGACTGTGTAGTGTACAAAATTATAATTGATAGTACTTTAATGAGCTTACAGTCTAGTGAAGAAGCCACATTAGCACATATAAGACCCCGAAAAATTAAGGCAGACGGTAATTTCACTGACATACTAGAAGAGAGTGATAGACAAGAGGTAGAATCTTTATAACAGTCGGTAGGTAGAGGTAAGCACTTGGAAAGGTATAGCCAATCCAGGGAGGAGGAGTCGTCTGGGCAGAAGAACATGCTGAAATAAATGCCTCCTTATAGATGTGAGAAGGCAGCTGGGAGGAACCTGGAGGCTTGTGTTGAAGGATGATGGACAATGAAATTGCAAGCTAGATATTGGAAGGTCTTGGAATAGGGAAGTTTTTCCCATTATGCAAGTTACCTCATGGGAAACAGAGACAAGCATGATTTGAAAACCTTGCCTAACTCACAGAATGTGAATCAGGCTCAAGCCCAGAGTGGGCAGGTAGAGCAGGAGAGTGACAGGACGACTGCCCTGTTTCAGGGAATCTGCTGGCAGCAGTCATTTGGGCTGGCGTGAGGGAGATGGGCAGGAATCAGAGGTAATCAGTGGTGAGGATGGTGAAGGAAAGAGATCAACTGCAATCAGGAAAGAGGGATTCTGACCCATATTCCCAAGAAATGACTGTGTCCATTTACTAGGGATTACATGTCCTGGCTTTTCTAGGACACATCTCTGATTCTGAATGTTTGGATCCATTGTTGTCACAAAGCCTTCAGAATTCCAAAATATCTGTGTCAAAACTACACCTCCTAGGTTCCTTTTACATGCAACTCTGCTCCAAAATCCTTTGCCAGAGAGTATGTACTGTTTTATTACTTTAAAAAGAAGTCACAGCCGATAGGGAGAATTAAGCTTAGGCAAAAAGCCAGGATCCTGTAAAAGCAGCATCATTTGAATCATTGGTGGAAACGAGGCTGTTAGAAAGGCAAGTGGTCATTCATGGACATATACACACTCATTGTCACATTTTTTGAATGACTGAAAAATTGTGCTGAACACTGGAATTTGACATAGCATTGTAAAATGATTATAAATCAATAAAAAAAAAAGAAAGGCAAGTGGTGCAGAGTGGAAAAACGGGGAGTATGCTGTGCTCACAGTTACTCAGTCTGCTCAAGTAATTGATGGCAGTTTATTGAAAATTCTTTATTTTGCTACAAGCTTTTCAACTGGAAACCTGTCGGTCTCACGCTGTTTTGATTTTAGAATTTCACCGAGAAGCAGCAGTGTTCTTCCAAACCCAGAAAAACCTGAAGGAGAGGATGACGGTGTTCAGATGGAAAGAATGAGAACAGCAAATGCTGTGACTGCCCCAGACTCGGACGAGGTAGAACTGCTAACAACGTGCATCACGTAATTTTATGTCAGAGGAAGAAGTGGGCTACTTTGCAGCCTTACGTTTTCAAAAGCACTCAAGTGCTTCAAGGTTCTTTCGTTCTTACCCATTTAGCTCATTATTTGACCTCTGTGAATATGCAGTGCCCACAGAGATAAGAGAACTAAGGAAACACACACACTAACTTGTTCATTTATTTTTCAGTCATAGTTTTTGGCAAGTAAATATAATCATTACAAAACCTAAGTAAGACTTTGTGAGTTTTATAAACTGATTAAGCTTATGGCAAGCAGTTCACATCTGAGGGGGGTGTGTGTGTCTTAACAGTCCTGCTGGTCATGTAGATGCCTCTATTCCACTTTTCTGGGGAAGAGCAAGCTCCAACGACACGACTATGTACTATGTACAGATGTCCTTTCCCTGCAGGAATATAGACTGGGAGAGTTCGCTTGGAAATGGCAGTTTCTGGGGGAAGGACTGGTCGGCTTCGTGGCAATGAACAGGGGACGATGTGGTCATAGGGAGTACGGAGCACTTGCTCGTTGCAAGGTGAGAATGAAGCCCCCCTGGTCCTGACTTCTGTCTTTACAGAACCCAGTCATCATTGCCAGCTGTCTGCGGAAGGAATACACAGGCAGAAGGAAAACCTGCTTTGCCAAGAGGAAGAAAAAAGTAGCCACGAGAAACGTCTCTTTCTGTGTAAAGGAAGGTTGGAAATGGTAGTTCTGTTAGCACAGCTGTCTTTTTTTTTTTTCTTTTTTAATTGAAGGGTAGTTGATTTGCAATGTTGTGTTAATTTCTGATGTACAGCCTAGTGATTTAGTTATACATGTGTATATATTCCTTTTCATATTCTTTTTCATTATAGGCATTACAAGGTATTGAATATAGTTCCCTGTGCTGTAATGTAGGACCTTGTTGTTTATCTATTTTATATGTAATAGTTAGTGCCTACGAATCTCAAACTCCCAATTTACCCCTCCCCACAATGTTTCCCCCTGGTAACTGTAAGTTTGTTTTCAATGTCTGTAACACAGCAAACTTGAACTCTGAGGATGAGATCCTTTGAGGGGATTAAGACTACTGAAAACCATGAGTGGAGGCCAACTCATCAACAGGCTGAGGCTGGTCCATCCTGTTTAAAAGACTCAGTTACAATAGTAATGTTTTTTCTCTGCACAGGGAGACAGTTATGTCTGTTCTGTTCAAACAAACAAAAACCAGAAAAGGATAAGAATAAGAATGACCCAAACAGAGGCAGTCTTTCTGTTAAAAAGGATGGATTTTTAAGTAATATAACTAATTTCCCAGCAGGGGATATTACCTACAAGTGAATTCAGTGGGATTCTTCATTCTATCCAATAGCATGTTTTGGGGAGGGATGGTTAAGTGCCACAAAACAGAATTTGTTTCAAATTCCAGCTCAACCTCTTATGGGCTGCATGACCTTGGGCAAGTCATTTATCGTCTTTTATGCCTCAGTTTCCTTGCCTGCAAAATGAAGCTAGGGGTGTGTGTGTGTGTGTGTGTGTGTGTGTGTGTGTGTGTGTGAAGAATAAGTGAAATGATGTACACAGTGCATTTGACAACAATCTTGACACATGGGGAGCCTTCAGATACCATTTGTTTTGTTTTATTGTAATTATTTGCAGTTAAATTCTGAGCACACCTGTTTCTTTCAGGTGAAGTTATAGGGCTCTTAGGACACAATGGAGCAGGTAAAAGTACAGCTATCAAGATGATAACCGGAGACACAAAACCAACCGCGGGGCAGGTCAGTAAAACACAGAACCGTGGTCACTAATGCTGCCTCGAGCAAGCATTTTACAGTGAATACTGATGACAGTCTTAATACACAGATGATCCTTTTTTATTAACCAATGTGATTTATGCATTGAATGAAGAGGATTAATTAAAAATTTCTCTCCTTGAGTCCAAAAATAGTTAGGTGATAAAAAGGGTTACATGTTATCTATACTCTGCCTTTTACTGAATGATAAATAGAGACATTAACGGGAAATATTTTGGTAAGTAAAGCTAAACATTAGTTTTATTTTCAGTCCAAGATGTTTGGGACTTTTTTGTTTTTTGACTTACATATCCTGAGAACTTGTTGAATTGAATTGCCAAGACCCAGGATTTATTCAGAAAACAGAGATCATAGTTTAGAGGAAACTGTCTAAATTCCAAAGCAAAAACGAGAATAGCCTATGAATACCACGTGCCAAGTTGTGTGAAACGATGGACAGTGGACCAAAGTTCAAAACCTTTGAAGGGGAGACGCCCCTGACACCTGACGGAGGGTTAAGGCCAGAGGGAGTGCTCACAAAGAAAGCTTGCGCAGGGGTGCCGGTCGCTACAGAGATCCCAAAGTTACCATTCTTACATTTCCACTGTCGCCTCACACCGCAGCCAGAGCCGTCCCTAAGAAATGCACATGAGGTTGTGTCACTGTCCTGCTTATAACCCTTCCGTGTGAATTGATCCCAGACCTTTACCTGTAAGATCTGGGCTCTCTTGAGCACCTTTTCTCCAACGCCAACTGCTCACACTGGCTCACACTGGCTCACACTGGCCTTTGGTTGTCTTCCCAGCGTAGCACCTTTAGGTTTGCTTTTCTGGTGGGTGGAGTGCTCTTCCTTCGGCTCGTCATGTGTTTGGTTATCTCCTTCTCATCACCTTAAAACTCACCTCCCCAAAAGCCCTTTCCCTGATTACGCCGGGAGCTAAACTGGACCCTCCCTTTTAGCACATTTCTTTCCTCGAAAGCATTCAGCAGGGGCTGTAACTCATTCACATATGTGTTTACTTGTTTATTTTCCATTTCTCTGTCTAGACTGAAGGCTCTGTGAGGCCAGGTGAGCCAGGTCTCTCCTCCTTTGTACTGGGGAGAGACACTATAGCATCGAGGTCAAGGGCTTGGATTCTGAAGGTGGATCCCAGTTTCAACTCCAGGGTTTGCCTTGTGTGACCTTCTGCAAATTTCTAAATCTGTGCATGGGTTTGTTTTCTCATATGTGAAACACGAGGTGATCAAACCAATACTTCAGTCTTAGAAGGTTTTTCTAAAGTTAAAGTAATTCAAAACATAAAATGTTAAGCCCTGGTACACATTACCTGTCATTATTAATATACAGCATGGTATCTGGCTCATAAAAATAAGAAATGCTATCGTGTGTTTCTTGGTTCCTGTGTGCCAGGCTAGTGCTCAGAGCTTTTCATTTATTACCTTAGTGCAGGATTTCTCACGCTTGGCACTTGGGTCATTTTGGACCAGATGACTTTACTGTGAAGAACTGTTCTGGTCATTGCAGGATATTAGCAGATCCCCTGCCCTTGACCCACTGGATCCCAGCAGCACCCCAGTCATGACAATCAGAAATGTCTCCAGACATGGCCAAATATCCCCCGGGATTGCCCCAACTGAGAAAAACTGCCTCATGTCATCCTCATAACAAACGTGTAAAACAGATGTTACAACCGTTTTAACACAGGAAAAACAGAATCTTCAGCAAATACCTGTTCCTCTGCATGTTTAGATCAGTAAATGAAGTCAAGCCCTGGGCAACTGAATAAGCAGCCCTGAATTCAGTCATGGTGATGGACTTGGTAATAAAGTCTAAACTTTAATGGAAGGGTACAGCAGTGTAGATTATCTGCCGTTTGAGTTTTTCATCATCTTTTCCCCACAGTGAAGTGATTACGTATGTACTTTTGCACTCTTGGCAGCCCATGTACGTCAGGGGGCATCACTGAAATGCACAGTGCACACACACACGCAGGCTTGGACTGAATGTGAGAGGGGACTTTCCTCTGCAGGTGCTACTGAAAGGGCGCGGCGGAGGGGACGCCCTGGGGTTTCTGGGCCATGTCCCCAGGAGAACGCGCGGTGGCCCAGCCTGACGGTGCAGGAGCACCTGGAGGTGTTCGCCGCCGTGAAAGGGCTGAGGAAGGCGGACGCCGCGGCTGCCATCACACGGTACACGGGGGAGACACACCTGTTCTCCACCAGGGGGATGATGCCTTAACACAAAATAAGGGAGGGAGATTCTAAGTGATGTTTGTGGGAGACAATTTGATCATCAAGAGCCCAATTCAGTGTCTTCTCTCACCTTAAACCTGGAGAGAAAAGGGTTATGGATTATTCTTTTTTTTGATTGATGTATAGTTGACTTACATTATTGTGTTTATTTCAGGTGTACAGCAAAGTGATTCAGTTACGTGTATATATTTTTTTCAGACTCTTTTCCATGATAGGTTATTACAAGATATTGAATATAGTTCCCTGTGCTATACAGTAAATCCTTGTTGCTTATCTATTTCATGTATAGTGGTCTGCATTTGTTAATCCTATACTCCTAATTTATCCCTCCCCTCTCCTTCCCCTTTGAAAACCATAAATTTGTTTTCTATGTCTGTGAATCTGTTTG